AGGGCCTGCGTTCGTATGCCCCCGTGATCAGGAGTGAATAATAATAGATTATTCTAATATTCGATTCTAATATTCTAATATTCTGTATTCTAATATTCTAATATATCTAATATTATTCACTCCTGATATTATACATAATATTCCTACATAATATTATATGAGGTGTGCTGAGTTTCTCTACGTTCATACTAACTTCAGGCATGCGGAATGTTGCTGAATATATTAACCGGCCTCCGGTCCGCGCCATCTTGCCATAAATGCGACATTTCTCATGCCATACTACCCCCGAATATTCGCTCTCTAGTTTAAATGTGTAATTTCAGCAAAATCGTATCGGCAAATATTGGATATGCGCTTGCAGAGATCTTCGCATGAGCAAATTACCAGTGGTGCACGGTTTCATGACCTAACCAAGCAATGCCGATCGCGAGGTTTTTGTGCGCTGTCTGATATTTTTATATATAAGTATATACATATATATATTATCAGGAGTTAATAAAGACAAAGTGTATAATGACAGGAGCGTATAATGACAAATATTTGTCATTATACGCTCCTGATATTATCAGGAGTTAATAAAGACAAAGGAGTTTGACACGTATTTGGTACTGATTTCACTATATTTTGTCGTACGAGTTCGATGTGAATAAAATGACAAATGTATACAAACATGAGCTTCTTTTGTTCACTGGTTTATATTCTATCTTCCGGTAGTATTACAAACCGCGTAGCTTCCGTAATTCGTTTTGACATAAATCGTACTTTTGCACGACATGGTTTTCACGTTATTTACCGTCGTGTGGCGTAGCCAAGCGGTAAATTCGCATACACAGCAACTGGAAGGAGGCGCGGCAGGGCTTCTAGGCCGTAGTCTAGCCGAGTTCAGAAAATGCGCTTAGAAATTAAGTTAGCCTACGTTGCACCCATGCTGGGTTTAAAAATTAAAACTATTTTACATTGAAACCATAGTTAGAATGCCTTGTTTTAATGGTTTAATCCCGCATTTTTTTTAAATAAACGCTGCGCTGGTATTATATAGCGACTGTAGCATCATTGCAGCAGTCGCGGTCCGCCCGCTGGCATCGAGCGAGAAAATTCACATAAGCAATTCCGGACAAAATTCACTCGCCGCGAATTTAAAACGAAAAAATCTCACGGGAAAATTTCATTACGATTTGCACAAAGCGGCCATTTATCAGCCGGCCTTGATTACGTTAATGATTAAATAATATTCTAGTAATTCCAGAAACCGGCGCGCATGATTTAGTAGGATGATTGCGGCCGGTATAGTGGTATTTAGTTAGCGGTAAACGAGAGAACGGTGTATGGCTGATTATATATGCTAATGATGCGTGTAGGGCAGGCCGCGCAGGCCGCTCGCTGCCACACACAGACATAACTGCGATTAAGCCGACCGAATTCAATTCGTCTGCGAGAACGTTGTTGTCGAGTTAGAGAGAGAGAGAGAGAGAGACAGAAGAGAGAGAGAGAGGGAGGAGAGTAAGATAGAGAGAGGGGGCGCGAGACAGAGAGAGAGGG